AAAAAAAAAAAAAAAAAAAAAGCTGTCTCCATGCTATTTACATAGCTAGTTAAAAGTTGGGCATAACTGAGAGTCTTCAACTCAGGACAAGTCAAATGACATTCACTTTCTTTTCATCAATACCTGTTTGCATTTTTCCCTTGGTTCTGCTGCCTGGAAGTCTCCTGGCACACCAGGAAACTGAGTGTGTTCCTCTTCTTTCTTCTTCTATTTTCCACACCCTAGTGGTGTGGACAGGTGGTCCCTGACTTGCAATGGTTTGATTTATGATTTTTGACTTTACAATGAGTTTACTGGGGTATTAAATACAGTTTCACCTTATGATGGGGATTATCAGGATATAGCCCTATTGTAAATCAAGAAGCATCTGTATTAGATTTTCTATCTGCTGTAACAGATTACTACCAATTTTGCATCTTAATACAAACATTTTTTTTAACAAAATCGTCTGTACAACAAATTTATTTATTTATTTATTTATTTTTACTACTAGAAATCAATATTTATTTATTTTTACAATTCTGTAGGTCATAAGTCCAGCATGAATTTCACCAGCCTAAAATTAAAGTGTCAGCAAGGCTGGGTTCCTTTCTGGAGGCCTGAGGGAAAAATCTATTTCCTTGTACATCAAACATTGGTAGAATTTAGTTCCTTGAGTCTGAGACTGAAATCTCCATTTCCTTGTTGGCTGTCAGCTGAGGGTTCTTTCCAGCTTCTAGAAGCCACTCACATGCCCTAGTTCATGAACCCCTTCCTCAATCTTCAAAGTCAGCAACTCTTCTGCCTTCCTCTTCCACTTTTAAGGACTCGTGATTACATTGTGCCTACTTGAATAATCCAGGATAATCCCCTCCTCTCAAGGTTCTTAACCTTAATTACACCTGCAAAGTCTCTTTTGCCATGTAAAGGAACATATTTGCAGGTTCTAGGGATTACACCATGGACATCTTTGGGGGAGGGGGGATTATTTGGCCTACCTCACAATGCCTTCATCTCCTCTGATATCTCCTGAAAACGTAGCCAGTAATAGAACAGGGGCCAAATAGGCTCATGTTGGGGTGTGGAGGGTATCAGAAGACACAGCAGCAAATCTGGGACCCACTGCAAGAGTTGATGGATTTCAGTTCTAACCCATCAGTGAACCCAGAATCCAGTGAATCTTTTGAGGTAAGAAACCTAAATATCTAACTTGGCATTTTCCTAGCATTCCCCAGCTATAAACTAGCCAGTTTAGAAAACAAGGAATTCAGACTCTAGACCCTGCTCAATAGGTTCACCAATTACATGTGTCAGACTGAGGAGAAGCAGCATGATAATGGTGTGAGGCATATTCTGAGGGAAAAAGAAATAGGGTTAGAGAGGAGTGAGTCACTGTCCCAGATTAATAGAAGGTTAGAACTGTCCAACGGATTTAACATATCATTTAGCCATGTTGTAGGCCTTTTTGGAAGTTTTCTGGAGCAGGCCCTACCCTTATATCTGGTTTACTGCTTTATCCACAACATCGCTGTTGTAGTGGCTCAAGGAATACTTGAATGACGTACTAGAGTAGAAACTCTGGTTAGAAAGGTGAGTTGATATGATCAAGATCAAACCACTGGTTTGCAGGAGAGCTGGGCCTAGACTGGTTTTGATTCTTTGTTCTACCAAATTTAGGAGGCAGCTTCCAGAAAATGAACTACTGCACAAAAGGAGGCCTCTTGTATATTTTCTACCTTGCACATCGCATTTCTTCCTTCTATATGAAGTTATTACTAACCAAACCTATCAATTTAATGTCTAAAACATGAGTCAAGAGAACTGAGTTCTGTTCCCCATTTCCCCATTCACTTCCTTGGTGTCTGAGGCAAATTACTTAGCCTGTCCAAACTCGCTTCTTCAATTATGAGAGAGGCTGAGGTTTCTCCTCAGCACTCATATCCTATAATTCTAAATTTCATGAAGGCTAATGAATTAATAAGCTCCCTGCTATGGTTGGGGTATGGCTTTGGACCTGCAAAGTGTCATGTTGAAATCTGAGTCCCAGTGCTGGAGGTGGGGCCCGGTGGGAGGTGTTTGGGCCATATAGGCGGATTCCTCACAAATGGCTTTGTGCTATTCTCCTGAGAGTGAGTTCTTACCCTTGAGGACAGGTTGTTGAAAAAAGCCTAGCATCATCTTCTCTCTTTCTGTACCCCCATACCCCCTCTTGCATGCTAGCCATGTGATCTCTGCACGAAGGATCCCCTTTGCCTTCTGCCATGAGTGGACGCAGCATAAGGCCCTCATCTGAAGCTGACAGCCTGCAGAACTACGAGTCAAATAAACCTTGTTTCTTCATACATTATCCAGCCTCTGGTATTCCCTTATAGCAACATAAACCAATTAAGATCCTCACCCATGGACTATATGTCTGCATATCCTCCTATCAGTGTTCCTAAAGTGTGGTCAGCCACTATCAAAATCACCTGAGGTCAGCTGAGTGCAATGGCTCATGCCTATAATCTCAGCACCTTGAAAGGCAGAGGCAGGCTGGGGCACTTGAGGTCAGGAGTTCGAGCCAGCCCTGCCCACATAGTGAAATACTTTCTCTACTAAAAATACAAAAATCAGCCAGGTGTGGTGGTGCGTGCCTATAATCTCAACTACTCAGGAGGCTGAGGCAGGAGAATTGCTTAAACCTGGGAGGTGTAGTTTGCAGCGAGCCAAGATTGTGCCACCGTGTTTTAGCTTGCGTGACAGAGTAAGACTTTGTCTTTAAAAAAAAAAAAAAAAAATCAATCACCTGAGATCCTTTACATAAGCTGATTTTTCAGTTAAGAATAATGAATTAGATGTGTGGTTTCCATTAGACCATGCTTCCCTTTTCACTCTACAGGCATGCTACACACAAAAAGTGATATTTATATGGCATAAAAGGGGAAGAAACCTTAAGGCTGTCTCTCTGCCAATGCACATCTTGCTGAGAAACGCTGCCATAAGTACTGAGAAAAACACCTGCAGAAAAATATGTATATGGTCTCTTTTTCAGACAGTACCAAAGCTCAGTATTAGAGTGTATGTATATCTGCATGAATATGTATTATGTTTTATACAATTACATGTTATTTTATGTAAGTGGAGATACTTATTAGAATATTTAAAGAAATGTACTAGGTTGTTAATGTAGGGGAAGAGGAAATACAAGGAATACAAAAAATTTTTAAGTGAAAAATTCAACATGTATGTCATGACTCCATTTATACATTTATGTAAAATAATGTATAGAGACGTAAAAAATAAGAAAAGCAGATCCAGAGCCCCTATCTTGGGTGCCTTCCAGCAGAATCTTAGGAATGGGAGGTATGGAGAGGTGGGCATCTTTAACAGGTATTCCAAATGATTCTATAATAGTAAAGTTCGTAAACCTTTGCGTTAGGTGCAAATACTATCAGCTATAAACAGAATATAGCTGGAAATTTCCATCCTGCAATGCAGGCTCATCTGATCCTCATTGTCTTGGAACACAGTAGATGCACACTAAATAGTGCTGATTATTTTGAGTCATTTGGAGGACAGGTGGAGGGAGGGAGGGCAAACGTGGTGAGAGAAGCAGATGAGCTGGACAAGGACATACTCGCTCTGGAGAAAGGTGGCAAAGCATGTAAGAACATACTGAGCCTCCTTGTCACTTTCGACGTTCAACCAATATTTGCTAGGCACTAAATATACATGCAGGACATTTTTCTGTATCTTGTTTCATTTAATTCAGAGAGGTGAAGAGTGTAGCACAGGTAGTATCAGAATTGGGATTCAAACCTGACACATACACCGAGCACTAAGTTAAAACCAGGCACTGGGCAGCAGCTGAAGATGCGATGGTGAGCACAACAGACTGCTTGCTCTTTTTTCATATCTAGAATCTTACAACTCTGCTGTGATCATCCTTGTCTGTTGTCACTTAGTAGTTGACATCTTCGTTGACTACCTGGAAGCAGCTGCTTCGACATCTATACCAACCTGGATTCCGTCGAAGGGAGATTAGAGCAAATGTGCTTTTTGTCCATCATCTCTAGTTAGTGTTTCACAGTGGGGGGAAAGTATCGTTTCTTAGGTGACTGTGCAAAGTGCAAGCTCCCCAAAGGCCAAAGACTACTCAATCTAAATCCTTCCAACTCTCAGGTACCCACCAAGTCAAAAGAATTCTGGCTCCCTGTGGCTTGATCTAAAAGCTCTCTGTAGCTTTTGTTAGGGGAGAAGAGGAAAGTGAGGAAAACAATGCTCTCTGAATAAGTTTCCGGGGTGGGGGTGCAAAGAATGGTACAAATGAATTTCTTACACATCTTTTGATAATCTCATTCTTGCTGTTGGAAAAGATTAGGGAAAATCCAAAACTGTCTATTTTGTGCCCAAAATAACTCGAAGGCCTTGATCTCTGGGCTCTTGTCATTCCTCTCCCCACCATTTCTGAAGTAGCCATTTTGCAGATTCCGGAGGATGGGAGCTGGGGCCGGCCCCTGGTACTGAATCTCAACTCCTTCACAAGGCTCCTCGGATCAAGTTGGGACCGGCGGCGCCAAGACTGTTCTCCGTGATTTAGCAGCAACCTAGAATCGGGGAGACCGGAAGACGGGAGGCCGGGATTCTCCGGTGGGGTCAGAGGTGAACAAAAATCCTTAGGCGAGGCCGCGTCCCCGCCCCAGGGATGTGATCTGCGGAAGGAGGTGCAGAAGCCTCTCCAGTCCCCGTCCTCCACAGTCTAACGGCCTCGGGGTGCGGGGCCCGCGACTGGGGCTGCCTCCCCCAACCTGGCAGGTGTACGTCCATCTCACAAAATGCCACCACTTCCCTGAGTCACGCTGGGCTCGGGGAACTGATTTGAAACCGGTGTTCAGAAGCCCGAGCCCGGCCGGACATAGCCGGCCTCCGGACGAGAGCGGAGGGGAAGTGTGCACTCCCCGAGAATCCCGCGGTCTCTGGGAGTGTGGGACGCTCCTCCTCCGCTCTCAGTTCCCGGCTTCTCCGCCCCCGCTCCCTACTTGGTCGCAGCCAAAGTCCGGAGCGTGGAGTCCAGATCCGGAGGAACGGGACTGCAAACGCGAGCGGCGCCGCGGCCGGGAGCCGGTCGCACCGGGCATGCTCAGTGGCGCGGCCGGCTGGGTGGCCCGCGAGCTGCACCCGGATCTGCTCGGCGGCGGCGGCGGCGGCGGCGACGTGAGCGCGCAGGGGGGCGGCGGCCTCGCCTCGTCTCACTCTCTGCGTCTGGGTCGGGTGGGTGACGCCGAGCGCCAGAGAGATGTCGGATTTCGACAGTAACCCGTTTGCCGACCCGGATCTCAACAATCCCTTCAAGGTGAGCTGCGGCCCCAGCGTCTCCTGCCGTCGCGACGCGTCGTTGTCTGTGAAAACGGACGAGTTCCTTCGCGTCCACTGCACCTGCCCCTCGGCTCCCCTTTGCAGCCCAGAGAGGGGCGCGGGGCTGCCGTACCCCATTTGGAGCCGCGTCCCGACCCCCGCGTCACTCGTTTGGGGTTTGGGGGGGAACCTCCTCAGCTCGTGCCCGGCCGTCCTTCCCCACGTCCCCGACTGGTGGGGGTCGTGCCCGCAGCTGGGACTGGGCCCGCGCGCCGGGAGGGGTCCTGGCCAGCCTCTCAGGAGCGGGGAGAGTGAGAGCCGAGGGCAGGTGGAGTCACCCCTTGTCAGGCAAGTGTGGCTGGCAGGGCCCGGAGGCGGCGGAGGGGGGCCCGGCCTGGAGTGGGGTTGTCATGGGGACCCGAGGTGGCGGCGGCGGAGAGCTGCGTGGGGGTATTGGCAGAGGTGTGGAGGAGGAGAGAGGTGAGGGCGCCGTGTGCTGCAATTAAAAAAAAAAAAGGTTGTGTTTTTATTTTTTAAACTTGTGTTGCATCCAAATACCACCAGTGGCGCTGCCATCCCCCCTCTCCCTGTAAGGCTGAGGTTGAGGGTATTGATACCAAAGCAAAAGTTAAAAATAAATAAACATATCTGGAAAACAATAGTGCACGTGGACAACCTCTTCCCTCCCCAGCTGCTTCTAGCAAGGTAAACGATGGGATATTTTCCAAGCTCCTGGTGCGTCACCGGTTCTCTGGGCTATACGAGGATACCATTTCCCACTTGAGCTGCTTTTCTTCTTGGAGTCGACCTTATCAACCCCAGCTTCGGAAGGGCTTGGCACAGAATCCCGCAAAGGAAGGCGGCTGAGATGTTCATCGTCTGCCCTTAAATGAATGCAACATCTAAATAACTCTCTCTTTAAACGTATTCTGGATTTCCTAATGAGAGTAACTCTTAGCACGTGTAATTTGTTCCCAACTGTTAGTTGAAGTTACTTCTCAATCTCCCCTGGCCTTGTGCAGTAGTTACTTTAATTTGCAGTCCCATAAAATGAAACAGTAACTCTAATTTGTGATCACACAAATGTCACTTCTGGCTTGCTGAGTTTACATCTTTTTTGCTCCTGGTTTTTTCTCTCATTAAGAATCCTGGAAGAGGAAAAATATTTCTCCTCTGATTATTCCTGATAATTCTAAGGAGGATTATTTTAATGAAATTATCCTGATTGACAACTCGACTCACTTTGTAGCAGTGTAGAATTAGACTCAGTCACTCTTTCATTGTCCCTTTTGTCACAGGGACGATGAAAATTCGGTAAATTCAGTACAACTGGCCTGTATCTTTCAGTGACATGGTTGCATTTTAAGACTTTCTTTTTTTCCTGACAGTTTTGTTTCAATTTGTATTAGACTTGCTTCCATGTTGTGGAAAATCGGGTTATTCTTAAATCATAGACTTTCTTAACAGACCTTTCATTAGTTGTTAAATGGGTGTTACTTTAAAATATTTTGATGATAAAACATCAAGAACCTTTTAGCCTTTCCTAATTCAGATAATTCATTGATGCTGTTTATTCAGCATCTGACGATTTGGCTGTGTATTTTCTACTTGGTCATTCCATTTCATGGTTCATTTCATATTAACTGGCTCTCTTGTTAGGGTGAGATATTGTCTTCATCTTAGCCCAGACTGTCCTTTTGTGACATCTCATATTGCCATGACACTTTCCTCTTCTGACATTCATAAGGTTGCCGTAGTAATTGTAAACCCAAGAGTTGTTTTAAATACTCATTCATTGTGGCATAACATTATAAATCCTTTTTGTCTATATAAGTGGATGTACTCAAAGGACAATGAGTATTCAAGTTTGTAAAATGCTTCAGGGACAGATCATTTAGGTCTAAAGAAGACTTGATCTTACACACATTCCTGCTTAGGATCTGTCTCTGTTTTTGGTGACTGTTAATCTCACTGTCAGTGTATCCAACCCTTTATTTTTCTATTTATGTTCCCCTGCCCCCCTCGTACAGTTTTATATCTATATTTTGTTTTCTTTTTACTTTTGCTTATATTTATGTAAAAGTCATTTTTGAAATAACATTTGATACTCTGCTTAAACCTGAAATGTTCCCAGACTCATTTGTGTTACTTTATGATCATTTTTAAAAAATCTGTTTTCGTTTTCAGTAATTGAAGATAAAGCTTTTATGTTCAAGTATATGCTATTTTGCATTTGGTAACTGTGCTAATTTCTTTTTCATTAAATCCTGTTTGGTTTCCATTGCTTTTTTCATTTTTTAGCATTTCTTTTCTTCACTTTTATGTTAGGAATACTTTTGCAAGCATCTTCATTTGAGCCATGTCATGAAAGTAGTTTGGTCTATTCTCCTTATGTAATATAACCATAGTGGTTTACTTGATTTTATTGGTTGTTGTAAGGTTATTTGCTGAATGCAATTCATTTTTGTTGTTGTTGTTGAGCCCTTGCTTTATATTCTAGTGGTTTTGCTAGGCTCAGTGAGTGGTTTTATGAAATTTGAATGGTTTTCATTGCGCATCAAGAAACTTGAAATAACTGGAAATCTGTAGTGATCCAAAAGAAAATAGATGATTAGTTATATAGAAGTTTCTGAGGATCCACTCTTGAGCTGTTAAAATGAGGTGTTAAAGCTAGAGAGAGAAAAATGTTTTCTGTATAGTCAACATGTATTTATTGAATAATTGCTGTATTCCTTCATTTTTTTCTGTTGAGTTTATTCCTTCAACAAATTCTAAAGAAATATTTCTGTCTTTGAATATTAGTCTAACAGTGAGACAAATATGCTTGTAAAATGAAATAAAAGGGGAGAGTTTAAAAACCAGCAGAGGTCAGCAATATAGGCTCTTAGAAGTTAGCGTAAGAGTGTATGGTTAAGTACCAGAACAAGTGCAGTTTGTTCATAGGAGGGAGAAATTAGTAAGTGGTGAGAAAATCTTCATGCTTTCTAATATACTTTTGCATATTAACATGATAATTGATTGAATTAGATAGATCATTTTGGAAATAAAATTTAAATTAATGTAATTTTTAAAATATGAGGAGAATTAGAGTTTCACAGCTCGGAAAGCAAATTCTTAAAATATATTCATTCAGATCTTGTAGATTAAAAAAGAAAGCCCATAGAGGCACACTTGCTCATTGTCTAATGCCCGTGTGTCAGTAGTATAGAATTGGCATTAGAACTTAGGTTTCCTCATTTCTAGTCCATTGCTGGTGACACTGTATGCACTCGCTGGTTGCATTTTTGGTACCAAAATTCTTGTTTTGTATTTGGAGGTTAGAGTTGAGGCTTTTGTGGAGAGGCAGCAGAGGATAGGGTTAAAAAGTTTTGGCTCAAAAATTTGAAAAGCTCTGGGCTTGATCCTGGCTTTGTCACTAATTGGTTTTGAGACCTTGAAAAGTTACTTAACCTCTTTAAGACTCAGTTTACTATTCTGTAAAATAGGATAATAGTACATTCTCTGTAGGATTGTAAATAGGATTAGTTGAACATACATTTAGCATATAGTAAGAGCTCAATGTATGTTGTTTTTAATTAGGTACTAATATTTAGTATTAATAGTAATTTAAGAAATTCTGTTTAATCTCTGTATGCTCAGCTATGAATTCAGTGAAATTTATGTTACTTTTGGATCTGCTGGAGTGCTCGTAGTAGCTGTTTGGCTGATCATAGTCAAGGAATCAAAGCTAAAAATAATTAAGTGCTTTGCCCTACATCAACCTGCTAGACTAGACAGGGTTGTCTGAATTCTGGTGCTTTTTCACAACACGTAGTTCCTCCCTAATAAAATAACACCATGTTAAAATTGAGTGCAGTGTCTATTTTGTTTGGCCTCAAAAATTAATTTTAGTATATTGAATTTTTTTTTTTAGAAATGGTCTAAAATTTAGTATTCTCACTTATGTTATCTTTTAAGTTACAGTAATCTATGGCGTTCTAAGAGTTGAAGTTGAAAGTGACCCATAATTCAAGTATGTCACCCATTTCTTAGTCTGGGCTGCTACAACAAAATGTAGTACCTTACAGTGGGTAATTTATAAACAACAGAAACTTATTGCCCAGACTTCTGGAGGCTAGGAATTCCTGGATCAAGGTGCCGGCAGATTCAGTGTGTGGCGAAGGCCTCTTCCTTATTGATGGCATCTTCTTTGTGTCCTCATAAGGCAGAGGGGGATGGCAGCTCTCTGGGGCCCCTTTCTTTTCTTTTTCTTTTTTTTTGAGCTGTAGTCTCACTCTGTTGCCTAGGCTTGAATGTGGTGGCATGATCTTGGCTCACCGCAACATCCACCTCTCGAGTTCAAGTGATTCTCCTGCCTCAGCCTCCCGAGTGACTAGGACTGCAGGCACCCACCACCATGCCCAGCTAATTCTTGTATTTTTAGTTGAGATAGGGTTTCATTATGTTGGCCAGGCTGGTCTTGAACTCTTGGCCTCAAGTGATTGGCTTGCCTCAGCCTCCCAAAGTGCTGGGATTACAGGTGTGTGCCACCATGCCTGGCCTC